CCCCCGGCCCCAAACTTTGCTTTTACCTGCTGCTTCTTATGGGGAGTCGGGTCGATTCGGACACCTCGCTAACTTTCTGCCTCCCACAGAGCGCAAGGCTGATACCTCCGGCGAGGCCGACAACGCCAACGAGATGTTCGACATCGCCATCGACGATGCCCAGCCCAACAACCGGAAACGTGCCTTTGGCAGCGACGGCGCCACCAACGCCAAACGTCAGAAGAAGAACGAGAAGTACGGCTTCGGCGGGAAGAAGCGCCACTCCAAGAGCGGTGATGCCGTCTCGAGTGGTGATATGCGCGATTTCTCCGTCCGGAAGATGAAGGGCGGTTCGAGGGGAGGTGGTGGTGGTGGTGGCGGCGGCGGCGCCAAGAGACCTGGTAAGAGCAGGAGAGCTGCTGCCAAGGGTCGTGCTTGATTCTCTTTTTCTTCATCGTTTCCGTTTCCTACATTTTCATCATTTTCTAGCTTGCTCGGATACCGGATGAGGGTCGTTTGGGTTTCTGTTTTACAAAAAGCAATTGTTTCAATTTTTACCCTCCCCCCACCACACCCCATTAGACACCGTGACTGTGCTTGGTCAGGGTTATGAAACTTGTGTATATTGAACTAATCCATGGTTATGGTTGGACGGCACGTGATAAATCGCTATTGCGGTTGTGTACTATGTAGTTGGAAGGGCTAAAAGTGGTATCTCATTGTGGTGTCATATCATCATACTATGGAAGCGACCCATTGCATCTCCGATAATGTGGTGTGAGCCTGTTGCTCGGTCTTGTGCTCAGACACACCGGTAAAGGTGGCTTCTCAGTCACATTGTTTACCTGCTCTGAGACTTGGGGACAATTAATACGAGGAACCGGTATTTACACCGTAGGTGTATGTCTAGCCTTTCATGGTTAGGCGGCCTGCCATGATGGATATTGACCCGAGTACCGCAACACTCATTTCTGTGCTGGAAAGAGCAGCCATCATCATCGTCACTTCATGTGGGTATCTTGGTGTATCGTTCTATGCTTGCCGGTTACGTTCCTACTGCGTCGGAAGCGCCGTTCATCGCGCCTTCCGTATCCGCAAGGCCGGTGTCCTCCCCTCCTGCCATCTCCCGGATACGTTTGAGAAGATTATCCACAGGGAGGCCGATGTTGAGTCGCTGTTCCGCAAAAACTAGATCGAGTTTTGCTTTGGTATCATCCGCGTGAGCCAGCGAGTGATCCTCGATCAGCTGCTTGCCGCGTTTCGTGCTGCACTTGTACACGACCTTGCCGCAGCCTCGGACCTGGCACGTCCATGTATCCGACTGTACATCCTCGCCGTTAGTGCCATTCGCTGCGGGCTCTTCGTGAGGATGTGCGTCGATATCGGCAGCGGAGACGGACGTGTTGCGGCTCTGGAAAACATCCTGCAGCGAGGTCTTCTGTATAGAAGGTGCTGTGGACTCCGAGTCGGACAAGATCGACCGCGTCCTGCGTTTGGCGCGGGTTGATAGCGGATCGCGGACAAGCTCGTGCCCTCGCACCTTGCTGGGCGTTTCGATCTCGTCCATAGCGTCTGCATTGGTGTCGGATTCCTCGTCCGTGTCGGCTGCTGCACTGCGCGTGCGCTTGCCCGTTCGTTTCGTGGCCACTGCACTCTTAGGCCGCAGAACGGACTTGAGGACTCGACGTTTGCGCAATCGGGGAAGGTCTTCTTGGTCGCTATCTTCAGGAGAGGATGCCTCGCTTTCTAACATGCGCGGACGCAGCGGGGTCATCGCCTCCTGCGAAGGTCCACCATGCTGCTTTGAAGCCGCCCTCAGCTCGCGATAGATGACTTTTCTGGACCAGTCAAATGAAGATGTTTTCGCCTCATCCATCAGTTCTAGGATGACTTCGGCGCTTGCCGCAATCCGACTGTGCGCATATTCGTCGTCGTCAATCTCGAATCGATCGACCAGCGTAGATGCGACAAGGTCGAGATTCAGCTGGCGCTTAGCCAAGTAACCCTCTTCCTTGAGATCGAGGATCATTTGGTAAATCGAATTCGCATCGGCGTTCGTCAACCCTGACGAGTCTGCTACGCGGCCTTTTTCATCGTCCGTCTTCTCGGGAGTACTCTCTTCTTCCTCCTCAGATTCGACCTCGTCCACGCCTTCAATCTGCGCCTTGATCTGTTCATAATCCTCCTATCGCCGCAGATCAGCACCCATACTCGAATAGGAGAAGAAAATCCGAGACATACTGGAAATCTTTCGCTCAGGTGGGCGAGAATATGCGTTGTCGACCACTGCACATTCTCCTCCCCCTTCAACATCCGTGATAGCAAGAAGTTATGATGCTTGTAGAACACCTCGGCGGAATCATCTGCATCTTCGCAGATCCCATGCGTGTGGCTGACATACTGTTTAGGCAAAAGGCAGAGAGCCGAGACATTAGCCTTGAATCATCCAATCGCCATGCATCCCGAGCATGCGCGCGCCAGCCATGTCTTATCCTTGTGCCAGGTCTTGTTTCTCTGTTTTAACCCTCGTCCAACTTTTCTGTCCTTGTAGGTATACAGGGCAGAGGGAAATACACTCACCTCCTCAAATAGATACTCCACACTGGGACCCTCGAACTTCCTCCTACCCCTCTTGCGCTTGTGTCGATCCGCTAGAAAATATAACAGATCGATCGCCTCCACTACCTCATTGAACATCGGTTTGTAGCCCTTCGCCGGAGAGATGGAGAACCACCCCGCCCGCCCCGCAACCCAAAACCCAACTTCTCCGTCATTATGTTGGCCATAGGCGTAGTGCGTGACATTCTCTAGGACAATGCGTTTGGTAAGATATTCCGGATCGAGCACTATCATTCACAGGATGATGTCAGCATCATCCAACTCGCAGTAGCGCAACATTCAATCCTATCAATGGGGAAAGATATGAGGGGGGACAAACCCAGAGACTCCTGTTCTTCCTCCACTTCATCCAAACACCCCGTTACTTGGACAGGATTGTCCGGCGAGGCTGTGAGGAGATTGGCATAGCGGGATTTTCCCGGAAACAAAACGCGGACCTCGGACAGGCTGAATTCCTCCCACTCGTTCTCGTCCGTCAGAGCCGGATCGCGAGCGGCGAGGACGTTATCTTCGCGCGAGGTCATGTCTCTGGTGGTGGGGGGAGCATATTGTTATCTGCGGTGCTGATGCAATGGGGATTGAGGTGAGAGTTTGGGTAAACCGGAGAGCGACCTGAACGTTGATGCCCTGGATAGTTCGAGGGGCTCTGCGTAAACGAAAGATATTATGAGGAAAGACCAGGTGGAGAGGAGAACGAAAGGAATTTATAATTGGGGAAAAGACTGGCAAGAGGAACACACAGGAACGAGGGGAGCTGAGAGGAGAAGCTCAGAGTGTACCAAGAGAGAGAGAGAGAGGGAGCGAGATCCGAGAAATTACGTATCATTACACATTAAACTGCGGGGATGAGAGAGTGAATTCCTGGTAATTACGGGCGCATGACAGTCGAACTACTACTACCATTAAGTTACTACTAACTTACCCACTTCAATGCTCCGGGATGGGCGGTCATTTCCGACATGGGCTATTTATGGTTCTGCCGTTGCGGACCGCCGGACGGACCGCCTAGACTAAACCGGCAGAATTGCGAGGCAGCGAGCCGAAATTTAGAATCCTTCTCCGGATGGTCTGTCTGGCCCAGCATTTAATTCATCAATTCTGCCGATTCCACGAGCTACAATCACGGACTGTTGATCTGAAGTGCTTGAATCGCGCTTTCACATTTCACTTCCTCTGAACCTGCGAAGCTCTTCCATACTCACCCCTCTCGCGGCCGATGGGCCTCCCCCGCAGCTTCAAGCTCTTCCGCACCACCATGAGCGGAGAAAAGATCTACGAAGGCGTATTCGGTATGCATGAGCCCTGGTCCTTACCCTCAACTCCACTGTCATTCCTTCTCTATCTTCCTTACTCCCTCACTCAATATCCAACCCAACTAACAAACTCAATCCAAAAAAACGCAGCCGTCCACAAACCCCAAGGCGTGACCTCCGCGGACGTGATCCGCACGCTCCAGAAACACTTCAACCCGTCGGCGCTCTTCCAGCCGTGGCTGGCGCACGAGCGCGCGCGGCGCGACCGGGAGAACCAATTCCAGCGGCGGCGGCGGCGCACGCAGCGCCTGGACCTGAAGATCGGGCACGGGGGCACGCTGGACCCGCTGGCGACGGGGGTGCTGGTGGCGGGCGTCGGCAAGGGCACCAAGTACCTCAACAACTTCCTGGGGTGCACCAAGACCTACGAGACGGTGGTGCTGTTCGGCGCCGAGACCGACACCTACGACGTCCTGGGCAAGGTGGTGCGGCGCGCCCCCTACGAGCACGTCACCCGCGACGCGGTCGAGCGCGCCCTCGACCAGTTCCGCGGCAAGATCATGCAGCGGCCCCCTATCTTTAGTGCGTTGCGGGTGCAGGGCAAGCGACTGTATGAGTATGCGCGGGAGGGGGTCGAGCCGCCCGTCGAGATCAAGGCGAGGCCCGTCGAGGTTTTGGATTTGAGGGTCGTCGAGTGGTTCGAGCCGGGGACGCACGGGTACAAGTGGCCTGAGGTGGAGGCCGTGGGGGAGGAGAGGGAGGTTGCCGAGCGCATGCTGAGGAAGGAGGATGCTTTGTCGGTTGGGGAGGGTGGGGAGGCCGCTGAGGAGGGGAAGGTGGAGGCGGAGGCGGAGGTGGAGGGGTCGGCGAAGCGGAAGGCTGAGGCTGAGGCTGAGGCTCCCAAAGTTGAGGAGGGAAGTGGCCCCGCGGCTGGCGCGGAAGAGTCCGAGGAGGCCCCCGCTGCCAAGAAGGTCAAGGTGTCTGAGGACGGTGACAGCGTTCCTGCACAGTCTGGGGAGGCCGCCGCGGCGGAGTCGTCAAGCGTCCCGGAAGCAACCGAGAAGAAGGAGGAGGCACCCGCTCGGCCCCAGCCCGCCGCTGTGAAGATCACCATGACCGTCTCGTCCGGCTTCTATGTTCGCTCCTTGGCGCACGACCTGGGCAAGGCCGTCGGCAGCTGCGGACTGATGAGCTCTTTGGTCCGCTCTCGTCAGGCCGACTTCGTGCTCGAGCCCGAGAAGGTGCTCGAGTACAAGGACCTCGAGGCCGGCGAGGAGGTCTGGGGCCCTAAGGTGCAGCAGTTCCTGCAAGAATGGGAGGACAAGAGAGCCGCTGAAAATGAGGCCGAGGGAAAGAACTAATTCATTCTATCTGTAATTGATCTGGGTTTGGCGTTTTAATGAAAAGGGTGGATGGTTTGCTTCATTTCTAAACCTCAGTCGAGTTGGAGATAATACATTCCGCAGAAAGCAGGACTAAACGTCCATAGACGAGAGGACCACAGTACTAGGACAGCCACCTGGTGTCCGGAGACCTCCGACATGGGCAACCAGAATCATACAATTCCATATTTAATGATCTACTGACCAGGCTGACTTGGAGCCTGGTTGTTCGAAAAAAGCGAAGTGCGCCCAACCGGAGATGAAACCCAGTCACATCAATGCTGACGGAGGGTTCACGCGAATTCGAGAATGTCAAATAGACCCACAGCAAGTGACTGGGATGTGCTGAAATCACAAGAACCCAAGAAGTGAAGCACAAAGCTTGAAGATTGAAGAAATTAAAAACAGATACCGAACAGCTGGTAAACAAAATGGTCCATTTTAGAGGGGTATACCGCTGAAAACACCGGGTAACAAGATATAGAAAGACGGCGGAGAGTATGCATGATCAAGCAATGAACGAGGATGCAAATGTTCTCTAGAGTAATGCAAGGGACTATTGAGCCAGCGTTTGACCGTAGTTACGGTGAGCATCAACCAATGCTGCTTCCAAGTTAGCGAACGAAGTCGATATTAGCGAGAGATGACGACTTACTCTGAAGAACGAAAGATTGGCCATTCCTCGATTCGCAAGCACATTGAAGCGTGCTTCCGTCGTTGAAGTCTAAGAGGATACTGTTCGGAAGTTCCTGTCGATCTTCATCCGGAAGACAAGGCGTGCGAAACTCGGTCAAATGGTATCGCTTAACCAGGTTACGATTGCTCGAGTCAAGGTTTCCAGGTGTCAGCACCAGATATCCCTTGTCATCGATACGGATGAAGCGACGTTTCCATAGCAGAGTATCGGGAAACTGGACGTTGACCTCGCCAATGTCGATTGCTTGGGCGGCTTCACGAGCAGCTTCCGGCTTGTCTTTCGGCGCAGTCTCTTCCTCGTTGACCATTGGATTTAGAGCAGCCATGACGGTCTTGCGGGAATTAGAAGTGATCGACGACATACGACGGAGGAGCCGGGAAGTCCGGGACGTCTTCTTCTCGTCAGGAGAAGAGGTTACACCAGGTGAGGGAGTGTCGTCGATGGCTTCTTCATTCTTGGGGGTTGAGGAATGAGACAACCTGCTCTCAGATCGCGAGATAGACGCAGCGGAGGGTTGCTGTTCCAATGCCTCAGAAGCCGCGGACACGCACGGCTCCTCAGCTGGCGTGACCACCGGCTCGGCTATATGAGTTGGTGGAATAGGGAAATCGGGAATAGTATTGTGCTCGATAGTCAGGGGACTAGCAAGGAGGTTGAGCGAGCTTGACTCAGGGGAATCGGCGGTTGGTTCGATTCCGGTGGAAGGACGCTCACGAACTATGCGAGCGGTCACGGAGACCGAACTCGCGCTACGCGTGAGACCAGGACCAGCCTGAGATACAGGACGCCGTAGGCTGGTTGTGCGAGAGAAGGATTCGGGGTAGAAGGAAACAGGTCTCGAGATCGTCGAGGCCTCGGAATAGCCCTTGCGCAGGGACTCGAAGGAAGGAGCGGCCAGGGTCTGGCCAGCGGTAGGGGTGGTTTCGCGAGTATTGGAGAACTTCTCCAACGCCTTGATGCGCTTGGAGATGCCGGACGAGACATTGATCTTTTTGGCCACTAGGACGGGGCTGTTGCTGTCTCCCGCATCGGCGTACGAGGACGACACCGACCGACCCATGGCTAATGCCTGCATTTCGGGGGGTTGATGTCCAATAGCGCTTGGATTTGAGACGGCACGGGAGTTCCTCCACGCGTCGGGCGAGGTGTTGCCGTTGCTTGTGTTCGAGTATCCGGGGGAGAGGGGTGAGATGCCGACCGAGATTGGCTTGGCCTCTTCAACGGTGGCACTTTTTAATTCTTCCATGAAAGAATCGTCAGAGAGAAGGTTCTCGTCATCAGAGTAGTCTGGAGTAGGTACTTGAATGGGTTCAAGGTAAGGTTTGCGTTTCTCCTTTCGAGTAGTGCTATGCTGTCGCTCCACATTCGAGGATTCAGGGGTCAGGTCATGCTGCGGCTCGGGAGAATGAGGCACGGTGATCGACGGCGAATCGGGGGAGGGAGTTGGGCGCGAAATGAAAGAAGGAGAGTTGAGCCGAGGACTTGATTCGGATTGAAGAGCCTGGATAATTGATTCCGAAGTCGAATTGACCTCTTGTTCGCCAGGAACAAGAGGATTGTTGCTGTTGTTATCCGTTTGGGGTGGCGAGGGGCCAACAATTTCTTCCTTCGGAGCTTTTCCAGAATCGTTCTCTGGTGGGACGTGGAATACGGCGCTAGGCGTGCAGGGGCCACCCGTAGTCTCCCCGTCGTCGGACGCAGCCAAGGCCCCTTCTAAAGCGTGTGTTTCAGATTCCGACAGGGTGGATGTCGGCTGGGAGGTTTTAATAGTTGCTGCAATCTGGCGGCTGTTTTTGTCGGTCGATGCTGGAGGATTAGGGGTCGCCGTATCAGCCTCCTGCAGGCACAACCCGGAATTCGTCTGACCGGGAACTGTAGGGCTCCCTTCCTCCTTTTGTAATTCCCCAGGAGTCATGGTTCCCTCCGTTTCAGATAGGGGCTTGTTGCCGGGTTCCGAAACTGGTACCGGCTTGTCCTGAAGTTTGACTTCTTCAGGGAGCTGGGAGTTGGTATTCTCCTTATTCTCGGTCGGATCCGATTTCACTGCCCCCTTTTTGTCAGCAGCTTCGTTCTTCTCTTCTCTTGCTTTCTTCGCCAATTGCGTTTTTCGCATTTGAAGTGCCTTCATCAACCGTTCTCTCTCTTGTGATGCCCCCGATGATAACGCACTCAGAGACTTGGCACCCGGAGACAGTTTGGGTCGAGATATAGGTGTCGACAATGGAGGCACCAGCAAGGGCGGTACAGTAGGCACTTTGATAGATGCGGGTGTGCTGCTGCCCCCTTGAGACCAAGGACGCGAAGGACTCGGGTTGGCCTTTCGCAAGGACGATGACCGAACCCCCGCGGGCAACGAGGCTACCGGTCGCTTGTCAGCAGACCGCGACAGGGTGCCTGCAGTGCGAGGCCGTCCACTCCCGTCCAATGACGGCCGCGGGCCAAGCTTGGCTTTGGGTATGTATCCAGCTGCACGATCAATCTCCTTTATGGATGGCCGGGTCGACTGTGAGGACCTGCGAGGCTCGAAAGCAGCCTGAGTAGCGTCCTCCTGAAAGTTTCTAAGGGAAGGTGCACGTTCCGAAGCGGCTACTGAAGAGGACCGATCTCTACCTGGAACGCTTTCCAGGGTTGTCACACTCGACTCAGGACCAATGGGCGACTGTTGTACACTGGACGCCACGGATGGGAGAACTACCGTGGCTTCGGAGATCTGACTGTAGGCCCTTTGTCGCATCTCGCTCATCGGTGGTATTGCTGGGGCTGGGTCCTTGTCTACGGGCTGCTCTTCCGCATCCTCCGCGATTTCCATCAGTTTGCGACGGCGGAGGGAGCTGCACGAGGAGGTAATTGAGCCGGAAGCCGTATGTAGCAAGCATGCGGATGACAGGGCGCTTTCAGTGAGTTCCGATGGCTGTTTCACCGAGAAGACCGTATCATGCGGTGAGAACTTGTCTAATATGGACTGGAATTGTACCGTCGTTCGAGCTGAAAGGGTGACGATTGCGTCAGCGTGAGGGGAAATCAAGGCCGAAGGACTGACGAAAGTCGCGCACCTTGAAGCAGCCGAGACATGCCATCGGGCAAGTAGCTGAGCACGACCTTTCGCCGGCGGTATTGGAGAAAGCCATAGAGCGGTGACGTCTCTTCATAACCTTCGATTGCATTGCGCACATCAGGGACCCCACCTGTCCCTCGCTCGAGAAGAGCTACCTCATCCCTTGATACATACCGAAGCAGAAACCTAAATGACAACAGTCATGCGCATGAGTCTTTGTGTGCGATTGGGCTGAATGTGGAGACCCTTGCTGACCAGGGAAACAGCGGGCGCAGGGGATGCAAGAAGGGTAGTTGGTGTGAGAGGGGAAGGGGAAGCGACTCACCATCCGCCGGCCTCGGTCAAAGCGGTTTGATAGGCTTCGATGACGGTGGGATGATCGAGCCCATTGAGCGACATGACGGGAGCCGCATTGGAGACCAACGACTTGCTTGGTCCGGAAGTGATCACAGCGTAGTGTATTTGTAGTGAATTCAGAGGCGGAAGAGAGAAAGGTGTGAAGTGGGTGTGTGGAGGCGGATGAAGGAGAGGGGGGGGGGGAAGAGAGGGGAAGAACGACGATGACAAGCTCAAAATGCGACCGACGGGTGACTTGGAAAGTGAACGTTCTAGATAGATAGGGAAGAAGGCTGGGGGATCCGACGATTAGAGAACGGGCCTGTCTCCTCCAGGTAGGGCAGCGGGGACACTAGGCTGGAAAAGGGAGAAATTAGTCTTCAAAAAGGACTCTCCATCCATTACTAGATATTATCTTGAGCAGAGGAGAATGACAAAATCCCAGCAGAAGTGGTGGTGGTCAAGTTATGGTCTTCAGTGCTCAGGAGTTCAGGGGCTGATCTTGCGAGTGAGTACTTGCAGTATTTAGTGGGTGGCCCTCTCCACTTTTGGGGTTCGCCGATAGGGATTAGTCGTTCTCGACAGGGAACGCGCAGCTGGTCCCCGCCACGTTCCTGGACCGTGGGCAATCCCTCAACAAACAATGTCCGGTTGTTTAGTTAGTTGATTAGCAAAGTGACTGCTATGCAGGTGCAGGGATTTGAAGAGACTTGAAGAGACTTGAAATCGAAGCAGTAACTGCAACAATGACAGTTCTGTTCAATTGAGAATAGCTCCAGAGTCAATGATCAATAATGGTGGAATAATTGTCTTTTGTTTCTTCCCCTCAGGCACCAAACCTTCTTACTAAACTTTAGTGGTGGAAAATGGAGTCCTTCCGGCGAATCGGGATGGTTCATGAAATGGATCCCTATCAATCTATTTGATTTATTACATACCTAGAACATCATGCCATGGTTCCTGCAGTGCTTCTGAATGTGTATGATGGCTTGATCCTTCCACAAACAGGGGCAGCTATCATGCCTGTCCATAATACATTCAGTCGAGATCTCAATACTCGTTTGTGTATCTCGGCGAGATCTTGAACTTCCTGGGATAGGATCTTCAAGGTATCCGTGCGGGCAGCTGTATAGTCCGTATACCTTGATTTCGGAGTTTCTCCTGCATGAAATGCATAGCTGCAGCAACAGCTCCACTCATCCCTTCGATGCGACACCTGCCCAGAGCAAAGTTCGACCACCCGATGGAGCGACGGGACTACTCCACTTGTTGAAGAATTCCGAGAGCAGCACAGTACTCAGCAACCCTCATGTTTGGAGGTTGCTGGTGAGATGCCCCAGGATTCCAGGCAAGATTCTAGACCAGACTTGGAATCTGGGGCAAAAGTACGAAGCGTTGTTGTTTTGGCTTAACTTGCACTGCACACAAGGCGAGTCAAGGGATAGAGAATTGTTATACTTGGTAGCAAGAAAAACGCTCATACTTACATATTTCCGGGGATCGACCCGTTGCGAAGGAGTGGCTCAGCGGGATTATCTGATAAAACGTACCTTGCAGCTGTTTTGTTTGGGCGATTGCATTGCTGTACTACCTCACTCTCCGGCTCCCTGTCACCATCCGAAGTCATGAACCTGCAGATCAGCCGCATTCCCTCCCGCCCCTTGGTTGTTTTCCTGCTGATGGACGCATCAAGTTTAGCAGATTGGGCCGTCATTGATACTCGTACTTATGCGACCAGTGTTGCTTTTTTGAGTATTGTCGACACCTCTCAGCTCGGCTGGGCCCGCTCGGGGACTGCCGACGCGGAGACCAGCCAAAAGCCAGGCGAGAGTACAGCGCATCGCATCTTGGTTGGATCGTCTTTTTCACGCAAATATCGAGTCTTGGATTAAAGAATTTTATTCTGCAATTGAATTTTGATTGTCCCTTCCCGGCATGCTTCTGTTGCAGAGCGTTTGTCAACATAAGAAGCAGAGATGCCGTGGTGGAGGAAATACGTCAAAAGGCCGACAGATGGGATATCATTTCAGAATTAGGGGCATGATCCAGGTGACTCGACTGACATCGGTGATTTTCAACTTGGTATAAGGCTAGTTTTAGACTTTCAGGCGATGTGTGACCTTGCTGAAGATCGGGCTTAATAGCCAGAGCAAGACTTTATGCCATAGATCTTGATTGCTGATATGCTCTCACTTCAGAGCGTCTATCGCAAACCAAAATAATGAAGAGTCCAGTCTGGACAGATCATAATCACAATCCACTGAGTTTCAATCGATTTGTATTTCCTCCGTGGAGGTCTCTATCCTCTAATGACATGCACGGGTAAGTAGATGTTCTCAACTACCGTGCACATCTTAGGCTTCCATCACAGTCCGTCTCACTACTAATCGAAGTTGGTGTACAAACCGACCCTTGATGTAACAACTAGCTTCTCGCGTGAAACTGCTGTGCCTTACTACGTTATACAACCCGGATTCTGTAATACAACGCACTGCCTTGAAGCGAAGCTCTACATAGAACATGCCTGGAACGTGCTTCAGGCTCAGGCTTCACTTCTTAAAGCAGGCTGGTGCCCTATCAGAAAGCTATACTTGGGTCCAATCTACTCTTCTGCAAGACTTTACACTAGTTCCGTAATCGGCCGAGAGCCTGACTGGATGCGCGCATTGCTATGTATAGGAGCCTTGGGAGTGCTCCCACCGCTATGTACTGGCCAGCCACATCAAAGGCCAGTCCGGAGTCTTGGGGATCTCGACCACTTCCGCTTGACACCACGAGCCACATACGTGGACTCCTCCACTATCTATAACCTCGCGCTGCAGTATCCCTCACTCGGGCAAGAAGACTATGTTGAAACAGCTACAAGGCTTGTTCGAAGCATCTCGCCAGAAACAAGCTTTCGAATCATCAACAACCATTATATCGGAGACAACGGAGTCGGGCATGTGTACTTCCGTCAGACCCTGCATGGAATCGACGTTGAGAACGCTGATTGCAACGTGAACGTAAGACAAACTATCTTCTTAGTCGGGAGAATGTACTCATGCTTTCAGATTGGCAAAAACGGGGAGATCTTTTCCTATGGCAGCTCCTTCTTTGCGGGCAACTTCCCACCGGGCGGTTCGATAGCACAGTCAATTCTCTCACACCCGATTCTTGCTCTCCAACAAGTAGTGGACATTTTGCATGTTCCTATCACAGTTGGCACGGTCAGAGCAAAACCAGTCACACAAAACAACACCTACATTCTCCAGGGAGCCGCAGGCGCAGTCTCAGATCCAATCGCCAACCTCGTGTACCTAGTCACTCCAAACAACACGCTCACCTTGACCTGGCGAGTTGAGACAGACGTTCACGACCACTGGCTCATCACATACATCGACGCAGCAACCAGCACCACAATCCACGGGGTAATCGACTACGTCTCCGAGGCATCCTACCAAGTCTAGTGAGCAGTGATGCCCGCCATCCTCTCTGGCCAGAACTAACCCTTCCAATCCAGCCCATGGGGCACCAACGACCCCACGGACGGCACGCGCATCATCGTCACCAACCCATGGGACCTCGCCTCCTCCCCGTACACCTGGCACAGCGACGGGCTCGCCAACTACATCAGCACGCGAGGCAACAACGCGATCGCGCAGTGGAACCCCAGCGGCGGGCGGCCCTACCGCAACAACTACCGGCCGTCATCCCCGACCCTGGAGTTCCAGTACCCCTACGCGCCGAACCAGACCTACCCGGCGGCCTACCTCAACGCCTCGATCACGCAGCTCTTCTACACCGTCAACGCCTACCACGACCTGCTGTACCAGCTCGGCTTCACCGAAGCCGCGGGCAACTTCGAGTTCAACAACGGCGGCCGCGGCGGCCGGTCCCACGACTACGTGATCCTCAACGCGCAGGACGGCTCCGGCACCGACAACGCCAACTTCGCCGCGCCGCCCGACGGCATCCCTGGCCGCATGAGCATGTTCCTGTGGGTTGAGCCCGGGTCCGCGACGGATGTCATCCGCGACGGGAGCTTCGACTCCGGGATCGTGATCCACGAGTATACCCATGGCTGTACGTATCCAACCACTTCTCTTCCACCCCTTACCACCACCCCCTTTCACCACCAGCTTGAAACTGCTAGCTAACCGCCAGGAATAAAAAACAGTATCAACCCGCTTGACCGGCGGGCCCCACAACGCCGGCTGCCTCAGCACCCTCGAATCCGCCGGCATGGGCGAAGGTTGGGGCGACTTCATGGCCACCGCCATCCGCGTGAAGCCGGCGGACTCGCGCAACACCTCGTACACCGTGGGCGCCTGGGCCCAGGCTACCAAGTCCGGGGTGCGCGCGTACCAGTACTCGACCTCCTTGCGCGAGAATCCGCTGCTGTATACGCATGTCAATGAGTTCGAGGGCGTGCATGCCATCGGGACGGTGTGGGCTAGTATGCTGTATGAGGTGATGTGGAATCTGATGGATCGGTATGGGGTGGGTAGCAGTGTGGGTGGGGGGTTAGGGATCAGTGGTGCTGGTGGTAGTTATCTGCATCGTGGTTTTGGTAAAGGGGTGAGGGAGATGGATGGGAGGTATTTGAGCTTGAAGTTGGTGGTGGATGGGATGGCTTTGTGAGTTATCCCCATGTTCGTTCTCCTTCTTTGGGGGTTAGAGCTGACTGAGGATAGACAACCGTGTAATCCGACCTTTGTGCAAGCGCGTGATGCGATCCTGGACGCAGATGTGGCGCTTACTGGGGGTAAGAATGGGTGTGAGATTTGGAGGGGGTTTGCGAAGAGAGGGTTGGGGTCTGGGGCGAGGTATCGTCGGTTCAGGAGGATGGGGAGTACGACTATTCCTCCGGGGGTGTGTCAGGATTTAATGAGGTGAACTAGTATAAGCTGAGATACTTCATCTTATAAGTGGAGTCTTTAATCGAATTATATCGCGCTATAGCCGACTTCTTTATAGTGCGTAATTCACAGTTGCGACCAGATAGATGGCGATCAAACCACGGCGAAAAAAGCCCGACTCTGCATCACCCTCGCCACCAACAGCAGCAGACTCCCCACCAGAAGACTCACGCCCGAGTAAATGGACAACGATAAATAGCCATACTTCTGAGCAAGCTCCCCACTAATCGGAATCCCGGCCATAGCACTGTGCATCACCTCAAGTTAGCCATCATAACCGACACCCCCTGTTGATGGGAACAGAAATCCTTACGAAAGAGACGCAGCAGCCATCACAACCCCGACCGCAAGACCAACACTCTTCGGTGTCGCCAGCTGCAGCGCACACGCCTGCTGGAGCGACAGAATAGCCTAAGATTTACGTTTCCATTAGTCGCTTGTGTCCCAGCGTCCAAGTCAGAAATGCCTACCCCGGAGGAAAACCCATAAGCAGTCGAGAAGATCACCAGGCCCGCCACGGACGTTACCTTGGTCCAGCACAAGGCGACTATGCCGGAAGTAAACGTAGCCACGAAGCAGCAGTTGAAGCGTCCGTATCGGTCCGCCAGGATCCCTGGCAGGATCCGGCCGAACAGGGAGGCGCCGTTGATGATGGAGATGGTGTAGAAGGCGAGGTCGGCGGAGAAGCCCTCCGCGACGGCGTAGGAGGTGGTGTAGAAGAATGGGGAGAACATGCCGAAGTAGATCATGAAGAAGGCGAGGCAGGTTAGGTGCATGGCGGGATTCTTGAGGATTGAGGGGGTTTCGTGTGAGGAGGGCTTCTGGGAGTGCTGCTCTTGAGGGATGATGGGGCTGCTTGATTTTTTAGCATCGAGGGGTGTTAGGGATTGTGTTTGAAGAGTAGTGGTGGCGGTTGGTAAGGGAGGATAGGCTGGGGGTCGGCAGCAGAGACAGGAGACGGTCAGAAGAGGGATCATGATGAATGCGACGATGCGCATGGTCCATCCGAAGCCAATCCGCGGGTTCTGGAGGAGGTTGTTGACTGCAATGGGCCAGACGACGCCGCCGAGAGAGGAGCCGGAGATGACGATCCCCACTGCTGCACCCCGATTGACCTTGATGTGCTGGCCCACGAGAGCTATCATGGGGCAGGTGAGGAGTGATTGGGAGATCCCGAGAAGAATCCCCTGGGCGAGGATGAACTGGTATAGCTCCTTGCAGAGAGAGGTCATCATGAGTGAGAAGACGGTCCCGAAGGATCCTATGCAAAGGAGGATCTGCTCGCAAGTTAGCCGGGTTTGGGGCGGGTGGTCTGGCTGCAGTGTAGAAAGACGAACCCTTGGCCCAATTGTGTCAAGTAATGGGCCCGACACAAGTGATACAGAGAAGATAAAAAATACAGCCAGTGCTCCGATCCAGGCGATGGTGGACTGGGACTCATCCGCCAGCTGAGATTTCGAGTAGTACTCCTCGAACAGGCCAAATGAGTTCACAAAGCCGACTGTGCAGAAGACACCAGTGAAAGATCCTAGAAGCATGAGACATGCTCGTGGTCTGAGTCTGTCAGCTTGCTCAGAGCTGCTGATTGAATGTCAGCAGAGACTCACGTGTATTCGCTCTGGGGCTTCGAAGGTTGATCGGAGCTACCCATCGTGGAAGGTCGATCGACTTCTGCTGATTGTGGTGGATGTCTTGGATATGAGCTCGAGCAGAGTCATCGCTATAGTAGGCATTTGAATGCTTTTATAAAGTGATGAGACAAGTAGTAGTAAATGTGAACTTTCTCCGTCCGGAGTGTCCGAGACGTATGGATTGTGCTTGTTTGTTTGCTGGCACGGCTGTCTGTAGCACAAGTACTATGAAATGAATGAATGGCTCTTCCTCAGCAAAGGTGCTGGATGGTCCGCTCCGGCGCCCGGACTCTCCGCGGATTCTCCGAGCGGGGCCGCCAACTAGACAGCCTCCCAACTTCCTGTTGCCAATTACACTTCCGCTGTTAGCCATCTACTCATCGAGATGCTTCAGCCCCCGATGATTGGTGATCCACGGATTTGGTAGCTTGTCATACTTACCTACAATCCCAGGAGTTGTGATCCCCTTGTAGGTGACACAATCTGATTCGGGCCAGCAGATAATCTCAATATGAAGCGAAAGGCCGCACCAGAACCTCCCGATCCTCAACCGAAGCGAACGCCTCGCCAGGACCCTGTCTCCTGTGAATCATGTAGGACAAAGAAAATCAAATGTGATCGACAGCAACCATGTGCAAGTTGTTCTCTTCGCAGATTGACCTGCAAATATGAACGACCTGGGGCTACCGCAAGAGACAGCAGACTCCGAGATACCCCGACATCAAGCCATGATGGCCCTGTGCTCGCTCAGAGTCCGCAAGATAAGCAGACTCTCTCGTCGACTAAGACTCTAGCCTCGAAGAACAATAGGGAGCTGATACAAACAGCCGACTGGCTGGAAAATATTCACATGGCCGCGAGGATTCCAACAGCCACTCCAGATTGGCTGCGCGATGGGCTGCGTGAGCCTCAAAGAACTGGAAACCCAATCCCAACTCCGGAAGCTCGTCCCTCCATATCCTCGCTCGCATACTTGTACAAGGACCGGTCTGCTTCCAAAGAGAACCCAGCGACGGTTGACTTGAGGGCGTACCTCCCTGATAGAGACCAGGCAATGTCACTGTTTCAATACTACATCGACTACGTCGGGCCCTTATACCATATTATCATTCCAAGTCGCGTCAAATCCCAGGTGGATGACATCTATCGCTCGGTTGAAGTTGGATCACCGATAATTCTCGATCATCTGGCTTTAATGTTCAGCATAATGGCAAGCTCTCTTTACCTGCAACTGTCCCTGGAGAGTTCTGCCGATGCAGAGGCCTGCAGTCGCGAGTTTTCGTACCTGACTGGTGCGGCCCTGATCCAGAGTAATTATTCCGTATCTCCCACGATAGAAGGGCTGCAAGCGACCATGGTTGTCATGCACAATCTCTACGTTTGGAACATACAGCCAACAGTCAGCGGACTTTTCGCGCTGGGGTCTATTATTAGCCAGGCTAAAATTCTGATGCTCCATTGCATCGATTCGCCGCGAGTTCGAGAGGAACGAGAAGCGACTGGGTTTGACTGCTTAGAAGTAGAACTCAAAAGACGGCTCTGGTGGGACTTGGTATCTTATGACTGGTAAGCTTCACTGGATCTGTGACTAATATACCTGCATCGCTGAAAGTTTCGATCAAGGATCCTTGGTAACTTGACTGGTCCCCAAGAATGGACATACTCGATACAAAAGAATCATATGAACGTTCAACAACCATCGAATACCGACGACGAGCTTATCGAGAAGGAAGGTGCTGTGACGTCACTGCCCAGCTGCGTACCTACAGACATGTCCTATGCGCTCCAGCGCCTTAAGTTGGCAATCCTATGTCGTGAAATCATTGACGCGACATCACACGATCACCTTCGTGGTCTAGAGCTAGACTACAGCAAAATACTTGAGCTGGATCGCAAATTCCATCAGCTGATCTCAGAGATCCCGGAATTCTTCCGCCTCGATCCGGGCTCCCAGCGCCGGTTTGAGCCAATCTATAAAGAGCGACCGGCCATTGCATGGCAAAGGTATGTCCTACAGCAAGGCTTCTTCTCTCGGCTGTGCCGATTGCATCGGCATCACTTCATCCGTGGCGCGCGTGAGCCCACATTTGCGTGGTCTCATCTCATCGGCCTCCAATCCGCTCGAAAAGTAATCGAAATCAGGAAGATTTTAGACGAGGGCGACCTCGGCTATAATCCGCCCGTCTCAGTGGTTTGGTCTGTCACTCACCATGTGTTCATGGCTACTGTGATTCTCTTGATGGATGCTTGCTTCAACTGGGATGATATCCTGGCGGAAAGAAGGAAGGAGGAAGTGCTCGACGCCTGCCGCATGCTAAGCAAGGCACACGAGTCATCTTCACTGGTACGCGAAGGTATAGATGCGATGATGAGCGTACTACGGAGACATTGGAAGAGCAGCACTCAATCATTCGCCGCACCACACGAGGTCAATCCATCCAATGCGCCGCTTGGACCTCGACTGGTCAAAGAACCAGTGCGCATCAATCCAGCCATGACGGGAGTTTACAATACACCATCCACGGCGATCGACGTGCATGATGTTACAATAGATACCACAGCCACAGACTTGCCTCCTGATGGACAATTTGAAGAAATTTGGTCAGAAATGCTGGAAAGCGGCAACATATTAACACTAGAGTCTGCGGATTGGACGGAGTTACTTGATGAGTTGACGGATACCAGCCTGCCTGGCAATCGCCCTTTGGCGTTCAGTTGATGATGGTTGGAGGTGAACGAAAGGGACTTGTCACTGTTAGATGCTTGGACGGCTCTGTTTCGATGACCCCGTTTTCGAGTCCGTTGTCGCATGAGATATTTCGAAGTCTTGCACGGAAATTACAATTCATAGAGGGCATGATTCATGGTCTGTACACTTGAAACCAGCACTAAATCCAAGCTGTTGCACCAAATATCGAAGTGGCTAATTATCACCCGCTAGTCTTCAACCGTCACATTGACCTTACTAGTGTCTGACCGGGGCAATCCATCAGCTTCGAGCTCCTAAGTTGATGCGGTGAACTCACAGAAAGCCACATGATCCTTGATATTCATGGCAGCGTCGTATGGCTTGGCATAATACCACGCTGCTTTAGGATATGTTTTTTCTGAATGATGCACGATGTCAGTCATACTTTCTGGAAAGCAGAAGCAGGCTCCAATGACAGACCTCCCACTACAACGGAGTAGTACGAAGCATGTCCTTTCCATGGACAGAACGTAGAAAGATCAGTCGGGACAAAGAGAGACTCATCCTTGATTGCTGAAGGAGGAAACTGATGAATGTGAGCTTAGCCAAACAAATGGACCAGGACTGAGAGCCTACGTAAATGTTGCCTTCGACCGTTTCCCACGATGCAGTCTCAGCAAGGACGGTGTCGTCAACGATAGCCTTTGCGACAGGCATAATGGGTTGGGTTGGTTCTCTTGTCGGAATATGTTTCGAATGCAGAAGAGGAAGGAAGAAAGGTTGGAAAGATGACGAAGTTGACGAAGTTGACATTGTTCAACTACTATGATTACAAACTGGAGGCACGTGAGTGCGGGGAAATCGGCATACAATAATATCATCGATAAGGGTCTATCCGTTTGGACATCCCAGGCTACTTACTCCGTACATGCAAACTACTCTTCAAAGTGTGGTTCCACCCAATGTCTGCCCATCTCCATATCTCTCAGATCTTCGAAGTCCCAATTGTTAACGTCATAGCCATCAATCTCGTAAGGCCAGCCGACGTGATCAAAATCCACGGCAGGGGCATTCCAAGGCCAGTGGTGATTCCAGGCCGAATCTAGGCGGGTGTCACCGAGCGTCAGTCCTGGATCTGCGACAGCCTGCTCCAATGTCTCCACCAGCCGATCTCCATACGACGAGCAGGCCCGTGGTGTTGGTTTATCCACGAGGTGCAACCGGTCATAAGTTCGTTGGACGCATTCCTTGCCCTGGTGGACCAGTCGCAGGAGTTTCGAAGGGGACATTTCAGTGCACAGCGGATACCGCGCGAGGCGCAGGATCTTCCGCCACATTAGGGTGCGCTGGTCGCCGTTGGGATCGGCCAGGTTACAGAAGCCTCGGACGCGTTGGATCTCGTCCCGCAGCGCCACGCGCATTTCGCGCAACATGTTGCTTCTAGCCACGTTGATCTTCTCGTAGATCGGAAGCGGCAGCACGGCGTCGGGAGGCGGGACCATGTGCGGATGTCGCATGATCAGCGTGCCCGTGGCTTCCTTGAAGCCGTCGCGCACGTTGAAGACCCACATGATGTACAGCATCCAGTCGATGACCTGCGCATCGGACGGCTCCGGGTCGCCGGGCCACATGTTCTCCACCCAGGTGGTAACAACCGGCATCACGGGCCTGAACAGATGGAACTTGTCAACCACCTGGGCAATATCCTTGAGCAAGGCCATTTCGATACCGCCGCTCGGCATATTGGCCCACCTACCGTGGACAGCCTGCATGACCGTGTAGAACGCTGCAGGATTGACGTCGTCGTAAGTAAGGGTCAAATGGCCGGTCTCTCTGAACCGGATGCCCTCTTCGAAGTTGGGCTCGAACAGAGCATAGAAGTATGGGGAGGCTTCCGCGAGGTGTCGCGAGCTGCACAGCATCTTATACTGCCATCTGCCATTGTGGATGACCACAGTTACGTCACTCTTATAGCAGAGCGTGTCTACAATCCCGTCGAACGGGTTCAGGAGGTCGGAACCGCATTCGGGCCAGTTACCCTCATCATTGGAGGGTTCTGAATCAGTGTCAGCCTCTGAATCGGAGTCGGAAGAGAGTATATCGTCTTCATCCGAGGAGTCTACGTCCTCTGGTGGGAGCAAAGATCCCGGCCATTGGAGGACAAATGGGGTGTTGGGAGGGGTCGGCATTCTGCAGACTCACCTTTCTTGCAACTAGGCTTCGGATTGGGTGTCAGCTTGATATGAAGAATCAATCTTTTGCATCCACTGACTGACTGAGGGGTTGATGTCGGATCACTCACCTCATCGATGAGGAGTTGGTTGTCTTATATACACGAGCCATGTCATCCCGCTATGAGAACTCCGTCGTATGTACTGGAGATGCTCAGGAAGTTGTATGATGGATATACATGTTGCGGGATCTTGGTTGTGGTTCATTGTAAGAAACTGAAGTGTTAAGAAAAGCCCCCTTCAAAAATAGTGGAAATGCGCCAATTGCATGTATACCAGAAGATCTCCGCCATGGCTCATTGTTCAAAATCGAGGAAAGAAAGCCAACCTGTGATTTCCTGAAGGAAGTTCTCATTACGAGAGGCACAAGTTATGAGAAAGCCCAACATTATGACTGACTAGCAGTGTAGAAGTGTAGGACTGAAATCAGGAGGCAATCAATCTGACGTGCTCTTGTTGACCGCAGTATACGCCTAGCTTTGAATCAAGATCATACCAGCTATCGATTAGCCTACCTTTTCCGGCTTCGCTGATGATAAGAGAAATGCGGGGGCGGAGCACTTGTCAACGACAGGGCGCGCAGCACTTAATCACCTCCTAGCACTTGCTGCGACAATTATTCTGGGAGACCCTATTGGCGCATAACCTAGTATGAGGTCTGCTCTCTATGAATCGCGTATTGAAGGATATTCCAGGCAATTTGTATGGCTCAAGACACTAAACTCAAGTGGGGATAGCGCATGGCTCGGAACGTCGGAAATGCGGAATGGCGGAATGGCCGCGCGCGCGCGCCCTGCCGCTGACGAGAGACACAAATTCCCCACAGGCTTATCGATAAAAAAGCTGTTCTTTCTTCTTCGCTACACTGGATCTTTTCTTGTCTCATCGCCATTGTACATTGTCTGGGACTTTTTCTTGGTTGTTGGAGGCTGTCTGTCGCTTTCTTGCTTTGTGATTCTACCTTAATTGAGTTATACTCCTTCCTTCCTCCGGTACCCTTCGAGCGGCGTCTTCCGCAGCGCCGAGTCCTTCCCCGCACATGGATCGCGAACAGTTCAGAACAGCAGCTCATGCTGCGGTTGATGAGAGTCAGTCTCCGGATTGATGGAATACTGGTTTGGTGCTAATCCCAGCAGTCATCAACTACTTCGAAGGCCTCCCCTCCCAGCGTGTCCTCCCCACCGTCGAACCCGGTTACCTCCGCCCTCTGATCCCCGAGAACCCGCCGGAGCAGCCGGAAGAATGGTCGCAGATCCAGGCGGACATCGAGGACAAGATCAAGCCGGGGCTCACGCACTGGCAGTCGCCCAACTTCATGGCCTTCTTCCCCGCGGGGGTCACCTACCCCAGCATCCTGGGGGAGATGTACTCGGCGGCGTTCACCGCGCCGGCGTTCAACTGGCTTTGCTCGCCGGCCTGCACGGAGCTGGAGACGATCGTGATGGACTGGCTGGCCAAGGCCCTGGCGCTGCCGAAGTGCTTTCTCAGTACCTCCGAGAACCGCGGCGGCGGCGTCATCCAGGTGACCGCCAGCGACACGGTGGCGACGATGATGATCGCGGCGCGCGAGCGGCGCGTGACGGAGCAGGTTGTCGCGGAGGGGCTCAAGCCGGATAGCGTGGAATATGAGGACCGCATGATGGAGCTGCGGCCCCGGCTGGTCGCCCTGGCCAGCAACCAGGCGCACAGCAGCACCGCCAAGGGCTCCCTGCTGGCCGGCACCCGCTTCCGCAGCGTTACGGCTCGGCTGGAGGATAACCTGGAGATGACGGCGGCGGGACTGCGCGAGGTGCTCGAGCAGTGCGACAAGGACGGGCTGACGCCTTACTTCATCACTCTTGGGTTCGGAACGACCAACACGTGCGCCGTGGATCGGTTCGCGGAGATCAAGGCGGTGCTGCGCGAGAAGCCCCACTGGCAGCGGATCTGGGTGCATATCGATGCGGCGTATGCGGGCGCCGCCCTGGTGGCGGACGAGTGGCAGTACATCGCCAAGGACTTTGCGGAGGGCGTGGATAGTTTCAACCTGAACATGCACAAATGGTTGCTGGTCAACTTCGATGCAAGGTATGTTGTCCCAAGAATTGTTCGGTTAGTGCCATGCTGACACCCGGCATGATAGCTGCCTGTTCGTTCGCAACCGGTACGACCTCACCAACGCCCTGGACATCACCCCGGCCTACCTCCGCAACGAGTACTCCGACTCCGGCAAGGTGACCGACTACCGCAACTGGTCCATGTCCCTGGGCCGGCGCTTCCGGGCGCTGAAGATCTGGTTCGTGATGCGCAGCTACGGCCTCACCGGGATGAAGGACTACATCCGTAAGACCATCGGGATCGGCGAGGTGTTCGCCGACTTGATCCGCAGCCGTCCGGACATGTTCGAGCTGATCACCGAGCCCGCGTTCGCGCTCACCGTGTTCCGCATCAAGAGCCCCAAGGCCGCGGTGACGGAGGGCGCGTCCGTGCTGCAGCCGGACGAGGCGTCCAACGCGCTGACCAAGGAGGTCTACGAGCTGATCAACTCCCGCGGCGAGATCTTCATCACGTCGACGGTCATCGCGGGGGTGTATGTCATCCGTGTCGTCAGCGCCAACCCGGCCGCGGAGGAGAAGTATATCCGCCGGGCGTTTGAGATCTTGGTGCAGACCACGGAGGAGGTGCTCCAGCGGGAGTAATTGAATCAGACCATGTATTCTAGTATAGATATCTTAGTGCTTGTTGTATACTTAGCCATAAATCACGATCGCGGCGCCCTCGAGTCCAACATCAATCATTCCCACGCTCATCTTCTAACCATATTCTAGCCTCACGCACCCACTCCCTCGCTACGGAGAATGCCCCCGCATTTTATCTAATATGTGTCGTGACCCTCCCTCGAGAAATCAAGACCCTCCGCCACCCCCTCCACAACCACCCCCTCCACTATGCCCTCCGCCGCCACCACAACCTCCTCCACCATGGTGACCCCCTCCTCCATGATGTCCACCACCATGATGCCCCCCACCACTATAGTCCCCACCCCCACCATCCACATAAACCCCATGCGCCGCGCGTCGTCGCGGATACGAGCTCGTCCTCGACGACAGTTTATGAGATGAGGAATACCGCGCCGGAGAGGTCCGTTCCTCGCTGCGAGAGGAGAAGCACATTGTTTCGTTCTGCGGTAGTTTCCCCGAGAACAGCGTGTCGAATATTATATCACGAGTAGGAAGATGCGGTCTCTCGCGATGTCTCTGAGCAGGTGGGCTCCTGGCTTTGGATGTGTGAAGGCCTGATCGAAATGGGCTTTCCTTCTTCTTTGGTCTAAGGATTGGACCTGGGTTGGAAAGCAGTGTGTTTTGAATTCTTGCGATAGTTGTCACGGTGCTTTGAGCTTTGCCTTGAGTTTTGTAGCGGCAAAGTGGAATCCATGCAAAGCTAGGCTAGTGGGTAAGGTAGGTAGGTAGGTAGGTAGGTAGGTAGGTAGGTAGGTAGTCTTATATCCCTAATTCCCTACTTCCGTCGCTGTGCTCGCTGCGTCATTCACCGGATGAGGGTGATCGAGCAAGGCTGAGCTGAGTCAGGGGGGGAGATGAGGCTACCAAGGTCAAAGTAAGTATGCTAAGCGGGATGAGCCTTGCAGGTTCTGGTATATGGTGAACCTGGTGACGGCGATGGTCGATCCGCAAGGCTTCCTTCATCGGGACCGGACTCTCTTCCATGCGGTTGGCTGGCGTGCGCTTGCGGGTTGCGGTTTGCGGTTTGCTTGTGGCGCGGAGTCGGGCACGGGGCGTTCGCCGCGGGGGCTGTGCTTCCGTTCCCACGCGTGATGTCGGATACGAGGGGTGGGTTACTTCTTCGTGTTTTAGGTGATGGAACTTCGTGGGTTATTGTGATTTAGGGAATTGGTGTTGCGGTGGCGGAGCTGGGTGTGTCTTGAGGGGTTAGGTATAATCTGGCTGGTTGTTTGTGGTTATGGGTGCTGGAATGGGTTCTCATCTTAGTACAGTGCTGAAGAGCTAAAGATATTGCGAATGGAAGGGTTCTAATTTATATCGAAGGTGAGGTATTTTGTATGATGTTGAGGATGCTGGCTGTATAGATGAGGGGAGATAGGCAGGGAAATCGCCGGATGCAGTCCACTTAGTCTATAGGCTCTTTTTTGTTGCAGTACATGCACGACCGGGACAAGCTAAGCGATTCGATCTCGATAAAGTAAAAGCGATACTACCCACGGCTACAATCACTGTAAAAGTGTTTGAACACCCTCCTTCGGGTGGTTCTTTTCTCTTATATACTCAGGACTAGTTACACTTTGAAATTGTCACCATATTCGCCGTGAGAATGCCTTTTACCATATGAATCAAACAGAAGAGCGATCAGGTCGGCGGTGCGTAGATGTGGCGTTTCTGAACCAAATAGTGGAGGGTGCGAATTCATTTTTTTCACTGCCTAAGGCCCTAGGGCCGGGACGAACCCTCTTTGCTGGATCTCTTTCCTAGGAATATGGGAAAACACTAACAACAGGCAAGACAAGACTGAACTGAAGATTGCAGCAGCCCTACCTCGGCTTCTAGTTTTTTAAATGATCCATAGTACTACCCATCATCCCCTCTAATCCTATCTACTCAAAAATAACTTTCCACATGAATCTGCAGTGGTACAAGCAAAAGATGCATCCTGAAGCGTTCAGAAAAATGGGGCTATATTTTAGTTTCGAGTACAACTGTACAACAACAGCCGCGGTGGTGTAGTGGTATTAACATTGCAGAGCCCCCGTACTAGCCTTATGCTAGCGGTGTGGAGTGCAGATTCTGGGTTCGAGTCCCAGTCGCGGCATCTTTTTTTGTCTCTCTGCGAGGAAGGAAGGCGTCGTGAAGATATCATCGGTGAGAAGAGTGTGTTGGAGGGTGGTTGTTGGGGAAGGTACGTCATACAACTAGAAGTGTGGATGAAATGGTTGTTGTAGTAGAAAGAGTCTAGTATAACGGAAAGGGACCCGCTTATGGAGACCAACGGATGCAGGTACGCTAATCATGACATTCAGATGTACAGCGATGATGTGTAATCGACATGCTATGCAGCAAGTAATCTAGCGTTGGATCAGTGAGGGGAATGAGGGAAGAAGCTCGAGACGTACAGCTCATAGAAAATCGACTGGAAGGCTGCCAGCCCAGAACGGTATAGTGACACGATCGCCCCGGTAGCTATCACTACAAGCAAGGGCCGCAAAACCAGCAGGACGGCATACTTAACGATCGACACGGTAGTCCGCCTGTTAGATCAGAAACTGCAAATCAATTTGCTTCATGACCGTCATCTTACAGGATAGAAGTGGTCATGTTTGTCAATCTTAACGATGACCAATAGTCACGGGGTCTTATTGCATGGTACTGGGGGTAGGGCCTAGTCTGCCTTTTAGGTTATTCTATTATCCAGCTTTAATCCCTGGGAGGGAGGTCGGTCTTTATATCCACCATGCTAGAGGCGGGCTTTCCCAAAGCCACGGTGCTATTTAAAGGAATGTACTCTATTTGATTGACGCACAGGTGGCAAGGGGATTGAGACACGGGCTCTGACGTCGAGAATTGTGCTGCCTGGATTTGTACAATCTGGCTGATATCTTTGCCGCTCTTTCCGACTTCCTGGCCAGGTAAAGTGGAACCAGGAGGTAGCCAACCGGGTCCCTTTTCTGCAAGCATGAGGCCACGTCTGGTGAATTTGACTGGGCTTCCAAGGCAAAAGTTGAGTTTGCCGGCTCCACCCGGACCCCAAAGTCTCCACACCCTTTCAGCCCTACAGGGCTGGCTGCCCAGGGGGTGTACTTCCCCCAAAGTTCCCTACTGACTTTTCCTCAAAACAGTTCCATCCTCTTTGCTCAATCTCAAGTCATACTGCTGATCTGTCAGTACAACACCACGTATGGGATCGTCTGCGGCCATCCGAATCACATCCAGTCCTACAAATCGGACGCCTACAAGTCAATGGGTTGAACATCCACATTTGCGGACCTTCCTGCCATCCGACAAAATCTAATGTTCGACTCTCCCTGGCCGCCTGGTGCCAGTTCATAAACGCACTTAATGCATCCGGAAGACACTCCTCGCTTCACCCACTTTTCCTGTCAATCTCAAGAGGTCACGGTAGCCTCCACCTTTGAAGGTCTCCTGGCCGACCGGTCCGAGCAACTCCCAGAATCAGATGAGCTCAAAGCAGACGCATGGTGGTTGGACATCTGCAACGCCTCTGAAGAGGATGTCAAGGCGGTCGGGCAAGCTCTTTCGATTCATCCCTTGACGGCCGAAGATATCGTCACGCGCGAGCCACGGGAGAAGATCGAAACCTTCCGGAATTACTATCTAATTTCGTTCCAGACCCTGCTGTCAGCCACGGAGGACGACAGCTTGGAGCGGATAAAGTCTTTGACTAGTCAGCCACACACCATCCCTGACTCGGCCGGGTTATACATCCTCGTCTTCAAGAACGCCATCGTCACGTTTTCTCCCAAAGGATGCAACCATGTGTCGCGGGTGCTAGATCGAATCCACCGGATGCAGGATCCGTCAATCATGTCGAGTGAATGGATTTGCTATGCCTTGATGTGAGTTCCCTATTTCCGGAAATGGTTCGAAATCGGATCAAGAGGATGAGGCTGACAAGGTAACAGCGACGATATCGTCGACAGTTTCGCGCCTTACATGCGAGCCGCGGAGCGCGACTGTGACGCCATCGAAGACCAAGTGTTCATGGCGCGGGCCGATGACATCAAAGCGATCATCCCACTGGTCGACCGCCTCCACAAGAGTATCACCCAGCTCACCAACTGCCTGAGCGGGAAGAACGACGTCCTCAACGGGTTCGTCAAGCGTTGCCAGGCGAAGAGCCAGAACGCCGTCTTCTCGAAAGCGGAGATGATCGTGTACCTGGGCGACGTGCAGGACCATCTGGTCACCACGCTGACCAGTCTGTCTCACTTCGACGAGATTGTCGGTCGGTCGCAGGCGAACTTCCTGGCGCAGATGAGCGTCAACAACATCCGGCTGAGCTTGAACATCAACGAGATTCTGAGCAAGGTGACGGTCCTCGCGAGTATCTTTGTGCCGTTGCATATGATCACGGGGCTGTGGGGGATGAATGTGCCCGTTCCGGGGCAGAATGCTGATGGGCTGGGGTGGTTCTTTGGGATTGTGGGGTGTTTTGTTGCATTTATTGTTGTGTGTTGCATAGTCGCGCAGCGGATGAAGTTGCTATGATCCTACTGACCTAAGGGGCTTGTCTGCGCATGGGAGACGGAGTTTAGCAGATTGAATATAATATGTAAGCCAATTGGGTATGCTGTACTGCAGCCGGACCATACCTGTTCGCGTCAGATTGCAATTTTTGTTGGTATCGGAAAATCGGGAATAGTTCATAAACGTTTTCTCGGGCAGTATGACGTTCATCGGGCTAGGATAAATTAAGAGCAAATCCCATTCGAGATTCTGATGGCTGATGGTCTAGATGATCTCTCGTGGTAGGCGATAGCCTTCTTGAACCCTAGTTAGCGCTGCCTGGGCTGAGTTCTAGATCTGACGCACCCTCTTTCCGGATGGCATCACAGACTGCTAGAAAGTGCCAAGACGGAAGTATGACCCTTGTCCGATAGTAATCAATTGCAAGGGAAGCCCCAGGCTATCGTAGTAGAGACTCCGGGGTCTGCTCGTATTTCGCGACGACACCCCTGCGAGCCTTTCCGCCCGGGATAAAATGTTGTCTGTCTCTTGTCCCTCT